GTGTGTGTGTGTGTGCCAGGCATGTGTGTTCTTCTGCCTCAACGGTGCCGTGCGTGCATGCCACTGCCATCACCGCAGGTGCAGGATGTGGATGCGGAGGAGGTGCCGACGACTGCGCTGAGCATGGAGTTCTTCGATAAGCTGTATACCAACGACATTCTGCGACGCGACGGCTCCATCAAGGGCTGCATCCCCGAGTGCCTCGACAACGGCATGGAAATCAACCAGGAAATCACAAAAGTAAGTGGGCATGTGTATGTGGTGTATACGTGTGTGTGTATGTTTGTGTGTGATGTGTGTTGTGGTGTGTGATGTGTGTACATGTGTGTGTGTGGGGGGGGGTATGTGTGTAAGGTGTACGTGTACGTGTAAGTGTGCACCATGTGTACATTTACGTTTGCGTGTGCATTCTGTCTGCAGTACACCTTTCTCTGATCCCATCCATCGTCTCATCAGCATAACCATCAACCCGCTTTCACGCCGTCACCCACCATCACCCATCATCGCCACTGCTGCAGGTGCTACACATGCCCGAGTCTGAGCAGTACGACATGTTTGTGCCGGAGGAGCGCCAGGAATTCCTCTTCCAGCTCTTCTCCCTCCTCGTCACGGGCGGGCCGCTGAACCAGGTGCGTGTATAAGTGTGCGATTAGGAGGGGGGATGGGTGGCAATGTTGGCTATTGCTGTGTGTGTGTGTTTGCTTTGTGTGTTTGCTTTGTGTGTTTGCTTTGTGTGTTTGCTTTGTGTGTTTGCTTTGTGTGTTTGCTTTGTGTGTTTGCTTTGTGTGTATGTGTGTGTGTGTGTGTGCTGTGTAAATGCTATCGTCACTACTCATGGACACACACACACACACACACACACACACACTCACTGTGACGCCATTGGTGCCAGTATGAGGACAACGTGGGCCCCTACTTTGATCTGACGCGGTCGCTGTACAAGATTGCGTGACTGTGGCCAAGAACACCACACCAACACTCCACGTCACATCCCACGTCTTGCCG